CATCCTTGCATCCCTGGAATGAATCCCACTTGATCATAGTGTGTAATATTTTTGATGTGTTGGTGTATTCTGATTTCTAATATTTTGTTGAGGATTTTTGTGTCTATGTTCATCAGAAATATTGGCCAGTAGTTTTCTTTTTTTGTTGTATCTTTGTATGGTTTTGGTATCAGGGTGATACTGGCCTCATAGAATGAGTTTGGGAGAATGATCTTTGTTTCAATTTTTTGGAATAATTTGAAGATAATTTGTATTAATTCCTCTTTAAATATCTGGTAGAATTCAGCCATCCAGTCCTGGGCTTTTCTTTATTGGGAGACTGCTGATTACTTGCTTCAGTCTTATTGCTTGTTATTGGTCTGTTCAGGTTTTCTATTTCTTCTTGGTTCAGTATTGGTAGTTTGTACGTGTCCACAAATTTATGCATTTTCTCCACGCTTTCCATTTTGTTGGCATATAGTTGTTTACAATAGTCTCTAATGATTCTTTGTATTTCTGTGGTATTGGTTGTAATGTTTCCTTTTTCACTTATGGTTTTAATTATTTGGATCTTCTCTTTTCTTTTTATAGTTAGCCTTGCTAACGGCTTGTCTGTTTTATCTTCTCAAAAAACCAACTTTTTGTTTCATTGATCTTTTGTATTGTTTTGTGATTCTCTATTTCATTCAGTTCTGCTCTGATGTTAATTATTCCTTTCTGTCTACTAATTTGGGGATTGAATTGTCTTTGCTTTTTCTAATTCTTTGAGGCATAGGTTGTTTATTTGAAATCTTTCTATTCTTTGATGTAAGTGTTTATTGCAATAAACTTTTCTCTTAGTGCTGCTTTTGCAGTATCACACAGGTTTTGGTATGAGGTGTCTTTATTTTCATTAGTTTCAATACATTTTTTGATTTACTATTTAATTACTTCTCAGACTATAGGTCATTCAGGAGTATGTTGATTAATTTACATGTATTTGTATAATTTCTTGTGTTTCTCCTATTATAGATTTCTAGTTTTATTTGGTTGTGATCTGAAAAGATACTTGAANGTTTATTGCAATAAACTTTTCTCTTAGTGCTGCTTTTGCAGTATCACACAGGTTTTGGTATGAGGTGTCTTTATTTTCATTAGTTTCAATACATTTTTTTATTTACTATTTAATTACTTCTCAGACTATAGGTCATTCAGGAGTATGTTGATTAATTTACATGTATTTGTATAATTTCCTGTGTTTCTCCTATTATAGATTTCTAGTTTTATTTGGTTGTGATCTGAAAAGATACTTGAAATGATTTCAATTTTTATAAATTTGTCGAGACTTGATTTGTGATCTAACATATGGTCTATCCTGGAGAATGTTCCATGTGCTAGTGAGAATGTACATTCCATAGTTGTTGGATGAAATATTCTGTAGATATCTGCCAGGTCCAGTTGGTCTACAGTATAGTTTAAATCCTGTGTTTCTCTTTTGATTTCTTGCCTAGATGATCTGTCCAGTGCTGAGAGAGTGGTGTTTAGTTCCCCACTATTATTGTATTGGGGTCTAGCTCTTTATTTAGGCCTATTAGTGTTTGCTTTATATATCTGTGTGCTCTAATGTTGGGTGCATATATATATTTATGATTGTTATGTCTTCTTGCTGGATAGATCTCTTTATCATTATATAGTGGCCTTCTTTGTCTCTTTTTATGTTTTTTAGTCTAAAGTCTATATTTTCTGATATAAAATAGCTGCTCTTGTTCATTTTTGGTTTCCATTTGCATGGCATATCTTTTTCCTTCCCTTCTCTATTAGTCTTTGTGTGTCTTTAAAGGTTAAGTGAGTCTCTTAAAGACAGCATGTAGTTGGGTCTAACTTTTTAATCCATTCAGTCAGTCTGTGTCTTCTGAGTGGGGAGTTTAATCCATTTACATTTAGGGTTGTTATTGAAAGGTATTGTCTTGCTCCTGGCATTTTATTGATTTTTGTTTGGATGTCTTAAATATCTTTTATTTCTTTCTTCCCCTTTTATTGTTTGTCTTTGATGTTTGCTGGTTTATTGAAATGGTAAGATCTCATTTATTTCTCTTTCTTGTTTTCATTTTTGTTCTATGAGAGGGTTTTGTTCTTTCTTATGTATTCATGGTAATGATTATCATTTTTCAGATTCTAGATGCAGGACTCCATTGAGAATTTCTTGCAGGGCTGTTCATGTGGTGGTGAACTCCCACAGTTTTTTGTTTGTCTGGAAGATACACTATTTCTCCATCATTGCTGAAGGATAGCCTTTCTGGGTAGAACGTTCTTGGCTGAGTTTTTTTCTTTTAGTATTTTAAATATATCATCCCATTTTCTTCTGGTCTGTGGAGTTTCTATTGAGAAATCTGCTGTTCGTCTGATAGGGGCTCCCTTATAGTTGACTTGATGCTTTTCTCTTGCTGCTTTTAGGATTCTCTTTTTGTCTTTGAGCTTTGCCAGCTTGACTATAATGTGTCTTGGAGAGGATCTTTTTTGGATTGAATCTGTTTGGGGATTGTTGAGCCTCCTGGATCTGAAGATTCATGTCTTTCCCTATACCAGGGAAATTTTCCATTATTCTTTCATTGAATACATTTTGCAATGCCTTTTCTTTTCTCCTCCCCTTCTGGAACACGCATGATTTGAATGTTTGTGCACTTAAGGTTGTCTGCTAGCTCTCTTAGATTTTATTCATTTTTTAAAATTCCTTTTTCCTTTTTATTGTCTGCCTGACTAATTTTAAAAAGACTATCATCAAGATTAGAAATTCTTTCTTCTGCTTGTTCTATCCTGCTGCTTACACTCTTGGTTATGTTTTTTATTTCATTAAATGAATCTTTCAGTTCCATGAGTTCTACTACATTCTTTTTTATGTTATTAATCTCTTTGTAAATTTCTTCCTTCAGGTTGTGGATTTTCTTCTCAATTTATTATGTTGTCTGAATCTTTCTGTATCTCCTTGAGTTTCCTTAAGATTGTTGCTGGAATTTCTTTGCAGTCATTTTAAGGGATTCCTGCTTTATAGAGTCTGGTATTTGAGAATTACTGCATTCTTTTGCAGTGTCATATTTTCTTGGATTTTCATATTTCTAGTATCTCTATCTACATTGATGTCTGGTCATCTGGTAGAGCAGTTGCTTGTTCTATTACTCTGGAGTGAACTTTGAGGAGATAGACTTCATGTTCTTTTTCTAGTCTCCACCAGTGACTCTCCTTATGTCAATGCAGTTGAGTGGCTGGCAGGCCACCTGCACAGTGGTTTTGGCTGCTACTGTGGTGGGAGCCACTTTTGCTGTAGCTGTGGCTCTGGCAGTGGCTGTGGTGGGTGACTGTATTAGTCTGTTTCTGTTGCTTATAACAAAATACATAGAATTGTAATTTGTAAGAAAATAAAATATATTGCTTACAGTTTCTAAGGCTGGGAAGTCCAAAGTCCAAGGAACGCATCTGGTGAGTGTCTTCCTTGGTGGTGGCTTCAGTGACACACGGTATCACATAGCAACATATTGGAAGCAGAGAGAGAGAGACTCTCACATGCTTTCCTTTTTAAGCTCTCAGAACCATGCCCATGACCACCATTAAACCATCAACTTAATCACCTCTTTGAGGCCCCATCTTTCAATTACCTTAATAAGATTTCCCACCATCAACAGTTACCATTGGGTTTAAGTTTTGTGGGACATCCAACCCAAGGCATTCTGTCCCTGGCCCCCAAAACTCATGTCCTTTTCACATACAAATACTTTCATTTGATCCCCAAAGTCTTAACTTGTTTCAACTCAAAAGTCCAAAGTTCAAAGTCCCCTCTGTGAAATCAAAACAAGTTATCTACTTACGATGGTGGGACAAACATAGGGTACATATTTCCCTTTTAAAAGGGAGAAATAAGCTCTAAAAAGTCGTAACGGGTCCTAAAAAAGTCCAAAACCCAGCAGGGCAGTCATTAAATCTCAAAGCTGGTGAATCATGTATCTCGACTCCATGTTTGATGTCCTCTGCACACTGGTGTGTGCGTTGAGCCCCCAAGTCCTCAGGTAGCTCCACTCCTATGGCTTTCCTGGTCTCAGGCCATACTTCAGCTCTCCCACACTGGTGTTCCACTCTGGTAGCTCCACAGGTCTGGGGTCTCCATGGTGGTCTCACTCTCACAGCTACACTAGGCATGGCACTGTTACAGTTTTTCTGCTGCAACTCTGACTTCATGTTTCTGCTCAACATTGTTCTAACAAAGGCTCCATATGGTGAATCCACCCGTGCAACACATCTCTTCCTGGGCCCCCAGGCTTTTTCATACATCCATTGAAAGTGGGGTGGAGGCTCCCAAGCCTCTGCAACTCAGGCATTCTGTGGGCCTGCAAACTTAACAGCACATGTATGTTTCCAATGCTTCCTGCTCATATATGTCAAAGCTGTGAGTCCAGCCACACCTGGGACCAATTAAGCCACAGTTGGATCAGCCAAGACAGCTGGGGTGCCAGTGCTAGAAGCAGCTCCCCAAAGTGGCTCTGGGCAGTGAGCCCGAGGAAGGCATTTCATGCCTGTTCCCTGAGACCATTCTGTCTCCCTAGGCCTCTGGGCTTGTAATGGAAGACACAGCTTCACAAATCTCTGAAATGCCTTCAGTGTCTTTTATTCCCTTCTCTCGATCATCCCTTTCTTCTGTACTAATCTCCTTAGCAAATGGTTGCAGGGGTACACCAATGAATTTTTCTCCTGAAAATGCTCTCTGTTGCTTTTCTACCAGATGACCAGGATGCAAATTTTCCAAATCTTTCCAGCCACCCATGCATATGTGGTGTTTTTGGTGTGCTTCTGTCTTTTGCTGTGTGGGGGTGTTGCCACAACTCCTGCCTAGGACCCTGTGTGTGCTCCTGTCTTTTGCCAGGTGGTAGGGGCTTCCCACCTATTGTTTACTTTTCGGGGTCCTTAGATACTCTTTTTTTTTTTTTTTTTTTCATTTTGTTCATAGTGATAGTTGTATTCAGTGAGAAAGGTAGACTGTAATTGGCTCACTCCATATGGATGGACTGGCAGTGGACAGCCCACCTCCCATGATACTTCTGAAGAAGACAAAGGAGAAGGGATTTACAAATGGCAGGAGCCACAAGAAGGTATATACTCTTGAACTTGATGGAAGGCAAAGTAAATAGATTCAGTGTTGAGACAGATGATTGTTGAAGAGATAACGTGAAGAGTAAAAAAATTTCCTTGACCAAGTAAAATCTTGATTGTGATCCCAGCCCTCTGATTTTTCCTGTGCCTGGAGTGATTGAAGAGAATATGGCCCTCAGGACCATACCCATGGCCACCATTATTAATCCATTCACTAGGCATGGTCCTCACAATCCAATCGCCTCTTCAAGGCCCCTCCTTTCACTGACCATAATAGGATTGCCCACCCTCTTTACATGTCACAATGAGGGTCGGGCTTCAATGAATTTGGGGGGACATTTGATCCATAGCAGAAATGTTTGGAAATATCCACATTTTATGAATGTTTAGAAATAACTAGATTTTTTCCTTTGATCTTTTTGGGTTTTGCTCATATTTTGCAGCAAGTAAACATGATTTCAAACAAAATTCACTATGTAAAAAACACTTTTTCCAAAACATAGTGAAGCAATGAACATACAGAGATCTCTTCACCTTATTAGCTATATATGTTTCATAAGATCAGCAAAAGTGGATTTTCTGGGCCAGGATTAAGGTTTAATGTGCAGTTCAGTTTGTGGTCAGTGTTAGGGCTGACCAGGTCAAGAGTCAGTCTGTGGCTGTGATGTGGTGGACACCTGCTGGATGTTCTGCCATTTCTCCCTTCATGGTGGGCCACCCACTGGCCCTACCATTCAGGCAGCCCTGTAGTCCAATCTGATTCCCTTTTCTTAGAGGCCATTGAACTCACCAGGATATGTACTTGATCTAAACTGGGTGCTATGGTTTGAATGTTTATCCCCTCCCAAAATCATGTTGAAATTTAGTTGCCATTGTAACAATATTAGGAGGTGGGACATTTAAGAGAAGTTCAGGCCATGAAGGCTCCACCCTCACAAATGGATTAATGCTGTTATACTGGGAGTGGATTGGCCCCCTCTTGCTCTCTCTTGCCTTCTCTTTGCCCTTCTGCCTTGTGATGCCTTAAACTATGGGATGATGCAGCAAGAAGGCCCTTGCAAGATCTCAGCATCTTAATCTTGAATTTCCCAGCCTCCAGAATTGTGAGCCAATAAATTTCTGTTTTTTATATATTTCTCAGTCTGTGGTATTGTGTTAACTGAGTACAAAACATACTAAGACACTGGGTCGATCTGATTCCTCCAGGAATATGAATTAAGGTGGGTGCAAAACATGCAGATTCAAGACCCATGGGTGGCTACCTTCTGCCCTGCAGTCTAGAGAGAGAAGACACCTAACTGCATAGAAAGAAACAGGCTTTGAGATAAACAGAACTGAAAGTCAAAGACAGGGAGAGAGGAGAGATTTGCTGGGTTCCTGGAGGGTTTCCACTTTTTGGTTCCAGTCCTTCTTGAGATTTATCTGTATCCCTATCCATGAGTACCATGAGACACCACTTCCTGGAATTTTATACAATTTCCCCTTTTAACTTGAGTGAACTTGAGTTGATTTATTTGCATCCAAAAAGTACACAGAGTCAGGAATTATGCTGTGACTGTGCCCAGGTACCAGGCTTAGGCCTTGTTAGGGAGAATACTTGGTCATGGGGTAGTAGAGTCAAGTCATTAGGCCCCCATGAAATCAAAACTAGAACCCTGGCTTCATTTATATTTATTTTATTAGCAATAAATCTCCTAGCTTAGAAATCCCTTGTGGGCAGAGACTTTCTATTTCATCTTTGAATTCTTTACAGAGATCATTCGTTCATTCAATAAATATTTTTTGAGTGTCTATTATGTATCAGACACAGTAATTTTTTTTAAAAAAAAGCAATAACATAAATTATCATTTTGAAGTACCTGCCTGAAATATGTTATCATCATCATTATTATTATTATTTTGGCAGCTGGTCTGTGTGGGGATCCAAACTTTTGTCTTTGATATTATAAGACCACACTTTAACCAACTGAACTAATTGGCCAGCCCTTGAAATTTTATTTTGTTTAGTCTTTACAGCACCTTGTAAATTGAATATCACTGACCCAATTGTTAGATAAGAAAACTGGCACTTAGAGAAGCTAATTAACTGGCTCAAGACCACAGATAGTAAATTGTAGAACAAGGATTTATACCCAGAGCTGCCTGATTCCAAAACCCTTCTTTATAAAAAGAATAAACCCCAATCTCACTAGCCTTTTTGTCTTTACAGTTTCAAGACGTTTGGAGGATAGTGTTTATACAACCTGTAGCTCTAAAGTTAGCAATTCTGTAAATACTAGTAGTGAGATCTACCATATGACCCAGCTATCCCACTGGTGGGAATATACCCAGAGGAATGGAAATCATCAAGTTGAAGGTATACCTGTTCCCCAATGTTCATTGCAGCACGATTTACAACAGCTAAGAGTTGGAACCAGCCCAAATGTCCATCATCAGATGAGTGGATAAGGAAAATGTGGTATATCTACACAATGGAATACTACTCTGCTGTGAAAAAGAATGAAATACTGCCATTTACAGCAACATGCATGGACCTAGAGAGAATTATATTAAGTGAAACAAGTCAGGCACAGAAAGAGAAATATCACATGTTCTCAGTTATTTATGGGAACTATAAATAAATAAATAAATAAATACACAAATAAACTGGGGTGGGGGAGAAGACACAACAATTACAATTCCTTGAAGTTGATACAACAAGTGAACAGAAAGGACTTTGTTGGGTGGGAGGGGGGAGAGGGAGGAGGGAGGGAGGTTTCGGTAATGGGCCACAATAATCAACCGCATTGTATATCGACAAAATAAAAATTTTAAAAAAGTATGTATTGTATATATGTCTTCGGTCATATGTAATTTGGGGAATAACAAGTGTTTTAAAGCTTGAATAATAGTTATGTAAACATGTATTATAGACCTCATTCTTTAATCCATATAAGTGGGAAGAAAAAATTATTAATCTATCAGTTCTTAAACATAGTAAATTGTTTTCTACTCCATTTAATTTTAAGTGTCTGGGACTTAATCTTTTTTTATCTCTTTAATAAAAATGAACCATAAAAAAATAATAATAATGTGATCTATATTATCAGGACTATATAGGCTTTCTGTAAATTGATCTTGCCTAAGGCGGAATTGAGAAGTAAGCCAGTTGATCTTTGTGATTCTCTGCTTTTTGTTTTTTTCTTTTCTGTTCTGATGTTTTTATCTTCCCTTCCCTTCTTCTCATGCCCATTGTCTTCATGCTGACCAGGGCTTTCTTTTGCTATTGCTTATGAGGGAGTCAGTTTCTTTTTAGCACCCTTACTCTGTACAACTGCTGTCTCTTCAGGAGCTGAATAAGCGCCTGACTGCTCCCCCTGCGGCTTTTCTCTGTCATTTGGATAATTTGCTTCGCCCACTGTTGAAGGACGCTGCTCATCCTAGCGAAGCTACCTTCTCCTCTGATCATGTGGCAGAGGCACTGATTCTACGGGTGCGGAGTGAGCTCTCTGGTCTCCCCTTCTATTGGAATTTCCACTGCATCCCAGCTAGTCCTTCCCTGGTAAGTGTGATTCATGTATGGAGCAGGGTAGGGGGAGATGTCAGCTCTTTGAACTGAAGCTTTATGTGCTCTTGTTTTTTAGCAAACACCATTTAAACTTCTCCAATCAGAAAACATTCCTTGACCAGACAGGAGGCAAAAAGGGTTCTTGACTGGTACATCCATTTCAGGCAAAAGGAGCAGAGTTTGGATCTACATACTTTATTGGGTGTCTTTATTTATTAATTTATTCAGCATTTATGAAGCATCTACTCTGTGCTAATTATTAGGTGTCAGACGTGAAACAGTGTGAACAGTATAAACTCTTCCTGGAGTTTATAACCTAGTTGAGGAGACAGACAGAAAATTGTGATAAAGTGTGATAAGTTCTTTGCGGTAGGCCCAAGATGGCTTGAGGGTCAGAGAAAACCTCTTTGAAGAGAGAGTTTCTGAGCTGAGTTTAGGAACTAGTTGGGAGAATATAAAGAGAAAATTTATTGTAGGCAAGAGGTGTGGAGATGTGTGTGAGGCAAGTTCAGGAACTTCATGACTGCAGTATAGATAAGAAGACATGAGAAATAAGGTAGGCAGTGGCCAGATCGTAGAGGATTCTATTGAGTTTTGGATTTTATCCCAAAGGCAACAGGAATTCATTGAAAAACTTTAAACAAAGATTTGACAGGATCAATTTGTGATTTATCAAGATCACTCAGGTAACAGTGGAGTATGTACCAGAGTTAGGTACTTTTCTCTCTCTTTTTAAAATTTATTTATTTATTTATTTATTTTATTTTATTTTTTTGTTCTTTTTGTGACCGGCTGCACCGCGCTCAGCCAGTGAGCACATCGCACCGGCCATCCCTATATAGGATCCGAACCCACGGCGGGAGCGCCACGGGCTCGGCCCATCTCTCTTTTTTTTTTTAAAGATGACTGGTAACGGGATCTTAACCCTTGACTTGGTGTTGTCAGCACCACGCTTTCCCAAGTGAGCTAACCGGCCATCCCTATATAGGGATCCGAACCAGTGGCCTTGGTGTTATCAGCACCACAGTCTCTCAAGTGAGCCACGGGCCAGCTCTGTTAGGTACTTTTCTAACATCGTCTCATCTTTTAATCCTCACAACTGTCCTGCAAGATAAGTACTATTGTCCCTGTTTTTTCAGAGTAGGAAACTGAGATTAAAAGTAACTTGTCCAAAGTCACTTGGTTTATAAATAATGAGCTAGAATTTGAACCCTACATTGGTCTAATATGAAAGCTCATTTTCTTTTCTTTTTTGGGGGGTGGGGGGGTTGGCCGGCTGGCTTGTATGGAGATCCAAACCCATGACCTTGGTGTTTTAAGGCTGCGCGCTAATCAATTGAGCTAACCGGCCAGCCCTGAAACCTCATTTTCAGGAACTGGGAGGATAATGTCCTCTGCTTCCTTGTAGCTTTATGTGCCCCAAGAGCTTTTATTAGAAATTAAGAATGGACATTAAGAACTAGTTTGCAGGAATAACAAATAGGGCTTATTTCAATCAGTAGCACTTAGAGGACGTGGTCTTCTATGGGAGGCCTAAGGGTATAGGTTTATCAGCAGAGGGATCTGAAGACTAGTGGGCATCATTTATTATCTTCCTTCTTTAGTGTCTCATAGGTAACGTGACACTTTGGCATTGATAGATGACTATAGATGGATAGATGACTGTGGATGGAACAAAGATGTTTTTGAGAAACTGTTTTGCTGATGTTTATTTTTGATCTAGACTTGAGTACTAGAACTGTGCATTCATTTCTGAATTTCTGACGCCCATCAATAGTGCTTCTCATGTAGTAATCACTCACATTTGTTGATTTTAATTGAATATTTCCATCCTGCTTTTTATATACAATTTACTTATTTCATTCAAAACCCTTGTGACTTTTCCTAAGTGACACCAGGGGGCACTGTTCCCTCATTAATGCTTGTTCTGAGACCAAGCCATTTGGGTTGCCTTTGGGAATCCCAAGTAATAGCTAGTCTCATTTTCCATTACAGGGCCCTAGAAATTCAATATAATATGATAGGGAGGCGGTTCTCCTTGGAGGTTGATGGACTCTAACAGTTTCTTCTTTCGAAAGAATACAGTAAAGAACACTTGTATAACAATATTATAACTGAAAAAAAAGGTAAAAGAAAGCTAGTTATGGGCCGGCCCGGTGGCGCACTGCTATAGTGCGCCGCTTGGGAAGCGCGGCGGCGCTCCCGCCGAGGGTTCGGATCCCACATACAGACCAGTTCCTGCTCACTGGCTGAGCGAGGCGCGGGAGCAACACCAAGGGTTGCGATCCCGTTGCTGGTCCTGGTCCGGTACGGGGGCGACACTGAGGGTTGCGATCCGTTGCCGGACACGGAAAAAAAAAAAAAAAAAAAAAAAAAAAAGAAAGCTAGTTATTCTAGGCAAATGCCTCTAACTGAGGAAAGAGGCAACAGTGTTTAGAGAGGGTTGAGTCTTGGCTGGTCATGGAGGAGAAGTTAGCTTTGAACAATTGATTAACAATTATGCTTTAAGTTAAAATAAGGTATATATCAGGGCTGGCCAGTTAGCTCAGTTGATTAGAGTATGGCGTTATAACAGCAAGGTCAAGGGTTTGAATACCCTCACCAGCCAGCTGCCAGAAAAACAAAAAAGTAAAATAAAATATTTATCATTAAAAGAAGAAGAATGCCATCCCAGGGAAACCCCTGAACCTAAGGGAGCTTTATAGGGAAAAAGTCAGAGCCTGTGGATACTGGCAGGGATATAGGCAGGTACTATTTCAGGCTTGTGTGTATGTCTGTGAGGTCACATGGTTATACTTTTTGTTTGTTATCCATTCTGGTGATAATTTTTACTTAATTTTTTTGAATGGATAATTCATGCAAAAGGCAAATTTTTTTAAAAAGTTGAGTTTTTCGAAGTAGAGATTAGAATGTGGTTACTAGAGGTTGAGAGGGGAGGGGGACAAGGAGAGGTTGGTTAATGGATACAAAATTAGAGCTAGATAGAAAAAAGCTCTAGTGTTGTACAGTAGTGCTAGGCATATATAACTAATAATAATTTATTGTATGTTTTCAAATTGCTAGAAGAGAGGAGCTCAAATGTTCTCATCATAAGGAAATGATAGATTTTGCGATGATAAATATGCTAATCACCCTGATTCAATCATCACACCTTATATGCATATATGGAAATATAATTCTGTATCCATAAATATATACAATCAATATGTATCAATTAAAAACTAAATTAATTTAAAAAAATCAAACAGCATTTAAGGGTATACAGTGAAAAAAATAGGTCTCCTTTTTACCCCCTTCACCAGTCCCTTATTTTCCTTCTCTGCAGCAACTACTAGTATCAACTTCTTGTAAATTCTTAAAGAAAGCTATATATAGTATGTATATTAAGTATGAATATGTATTTTACTCAATCAAATACATATCTGTGTATATTTATATATTTTCACAAATGGTATCATGCTTTACACATTGTTTAATACCTTGCTTTTTTCACTTACAGAACTTAGAGTTCACTCACATCAATACATTCAGAAGGCTTGCCTTAATTTTTTTTTTTTCCTAAAAGATGACCGGTAAGAGGATCTCAACCCTTGACTTGGTGTTGTCAGTGACCGGTAAGAGGATCTCAACCCTTGACTTGGTGTTGTCAGTTTAATTTTTTTTTTTTTCCTAAAAGATGACCGGTAAGAGGATCTCAACCCTTGACTTGGTGTTGTCAGTACCATGCTCTCCGAAGTGAGCAACCGGCCATCCCTATATAGGGATCCGAACCTGTAGCCTTGGTGTTATCAGCACCGTACTCTCCTGAGTGAGCCACGGGCCGGCCCTTGCCTTAATATTTTTTAATGTTAAGATAGCATTTTATTTAATGGATATATCAACATGTATTTAATTGATCTGCTATTAGTAGACACTTAAGTCATTTCTAGTCTTTTGTTGCAATATACAGTGAATATCCTTGTATTTACTTTTTCTGCATATAAATATGTAAATAAGTTCTAGAAGTGGAATAGCTAAGTCAATAAACATTTTTATCTTTAATCTTGCTGCAATGCCAAATTGTCTTCCAGAGACATTATGCAGCTTAACTCCTACCAGCCATACAGGAGAATAGAAGAGTACCTGTTTCCCCACGCTCTCTACAACACAACTTATTCACATTAATAATTTAATGGTTCTTAAGTCTCTGCAGGTTATTATGGAATATATAAAGTTTGGGGGTCTTTGTTTTCTTTTTTTTTCTTTTAAAAGATGACCGGTAAGGGGATCTTAACCCTTGACTTGGTGTTGTCAGCACCACGCTCACCCAGTGAGCTAACTGGCCATCCCTATATGGGATCCGAACCCGTGGCCCTGGTGCTATCAGCACCGCACTCTCCCGAGTGAGCCACGGGCTGGCCCGGGTCTTTGCTTTCTAACACTGAGCCCATCTCCACTTATGGCAAACTTCTCTTCATTTCTTCCTCCTTCCCATTGTCTTTTCTTTCTAGTATCTGATATAATTCTTGATACTCCATATTTTGACTTTCAAATTTGTCACCTTTTTGGCCATTTTATGATTCCTGAGAGTCACATCCAAAAGTTCCTTAGTGGTAGAAAGAGCACAGGCTTTGGAATCAGCAGACTTGAGTTTGTAACTCAGCTCCATCACTTTCAGACTACTTATATTACCTTGGATAACTACTGGATTTTTATGATTCAGTTTCTTCATCTGTAAAATGGAGATACCATTCCAACCTTACTGTGGAGTCGTGAGGATCAAATAAGAGAACATACATAATATTACTTAACTTTAGCATGATAGTAGACCTCTGAGAGCAAATACTCCAACTTCTTTTTTAAAAAGAGAAGGATCTTGGGCCGGCCCGTGGCTCACTCGGGAGAGTGTGGTGGTGCTGATAACACCAAGGCCACGGGTTCGGATCCCATATACGGATGGCCAGTTAGCTCACTGGGTGAGCGTGGAGCTGACAACACTAAGTCAAGGGTTAAGATCCCCTTACCGGTCATCTTTTAAAAAAAAAGAGAAGGATCAAAAAAACCCAATAATCAGCCACATTGTATATTGACAAAATAAAATTAAATTAAAAAAAAAAGAGAGGGGGCCGGCCCGGTGGCGCACTGGATAAGTGCGCCGCTTGGGAAGCGCGGCAGCGCTCCTGCCCGAGGGTTCGGATCCCACATGCAGACCAGTTCCCACTCACTGGCTAAGTGAGGCGCGGGGGCAACGCCGAGGGTTGCAATCCCGTTGCCGGTCCCCGGTCCGGTACGGGGGCAACACTGAGGGTTGCGATCCGTTGCCGGACACGGAAAAAGACAAAAGACAAAAAAAAAAAAATAGAGAGAAGGATCATGACAGCAGTTGAGCTTAAAGCCATTTTCATATCTAGGTGCTATCAGGACCTAGATCTAGGTAGAACTTAGATCTCCTAATTCCCAGTCTATTACTGTTTTCACTGTATCACCTGATATGATTCACGTTGTGATTGATAACTGCCATTCTGCTCTCCTGCCTATGACTTGTGAATATTTCTGTGGGAATCTGAAGACTTTGGGGAAAATTATAAATAGCTTTTCCTCTGGGAAAAATTGACAACTCCTGCTTCCACATCTACCACACTTCCTGACCTCCTTCTTAACTGTTCTGAGCTCTTTTAGGGCAGAGACCTCAGAGTACATATTAGGCACCTAGTAGGTATTTGTTGAATTGACTTATTGAACTCCATCTCTTCGTATATTGCTGTCTGTGAAGGAAGGGGGGGGGGTGTCCCTGACCTCCTAGAGCACATCAAGATTTTTCCTTGTAGTGTCTGTGGATTTGTTTTGGTCCATTTGTTTACACATTTCCATCAGTCTTTCTTATGACCATTAACATATTTTCAAGATTTCTATCCAGCATTAAAGTCTGAGAACAGAGCAAGGCTATCTGGTCTAAGGGAAATCATTTTAGTGTTCATCTGACTTTGAAGTGAATTATACCTGAATAATTCAGAGTGGTGTAACCCAATCATATGAAATTATCTGAGCAGTTAAAACATTTACTGATAAAAAACTTTTGTCTTTGTTTTTCGTTTTTGCTGTGTAGACATTGGGGTTCAATAGATCATTTCAAGTTGCTTAGTGTGGCATTGATTAAAAACTGTTTCTCATAATGTTTCTTGTTATTATATTTACCACCCCTCAAAGAAATTTCTATTAAGGGCACCTTCCCCTCCCCCACCTCCCACCCCGAGAGAGACTGGTTATTAATTATAGGAGTTTCTGTCATTTGAGTGCTGCCACCAAATGCATGGTGTTGCTGCTTTGTAGCAGTGATCATATTTTCAATTCAACCCACCAAACATTTACTGGCTTTTATACAAGTATTCACCTATTTTTCCTCCTGATCTATTTTTTTTTTTCCTTTTTGTCTTTTTTCGTGTCCGGCAACGGATCGCAACCCTCAGTGTCACGCCCGTACCGGACCGGGACCGGCAACGGGATCGCAACCCTCGGTGCTGCACCCACACCTCACTCAGCCAGTGAGCGGGAACCGGTCTGTATGGGGGATCCGAACCCTCGGCGGGAGCGCCACCACGCTCCCAAGCGGTGCACTGTAGCAGTGCGCCACCGGGCCGGCCCCCCTCCTGATCTATTTTGAACAGGACCAAACTTAAAACAATTCCTAGGAAAGAGGTTAGGTTTAGAGCAGATAAATTTTCCCAAAGATGAATTTCTGTCACATTCTGAGCAGTAATTCCTGGAGGTTTAAGTTTTAGCTAAGGACCTGAGCTCGAAGATAATGCCAGATTGGCGTGTGCAGTATGATGGGAAAAAGTGACTAGTATCTATAGCTGGACTTGATTTCTGGCCTTCCACTCTGTGCCAGTACCCCTGCATTTCTTGGGTCCTGGTGCTGGTACAAAAGCTGCTACCACTAACCCCCATCTACCCATCCAGTCTTTTTTTTTTCCTAATCTATCTTTAGAGAAATGTGGGGAAAAGTCTTTTCCTCTTAGTTTGAGCCACAACACAATTGGAGTTTTTAGTAGCAACTTTTACCTAGAAAATTAATGGAAAATGAAAACAAAAGTCTGAATAGTCCAGACTTCTGATCCTGATCCAGATGAGTCTGGCTTGCACATCTTATGGGACACTCTAGTAGCTTTTCCACACTTCAAGCTTGTATGGGGTTACTTGTCTAAAAGTACTCCTCTTTGAATCTAGGGCAGGGGTTGGCATACTATGCCCAGCAGGCCAAATCTGGCATGCTGCCTGTTTTTGTAAAGTTATATTGGAACACAGCCACATCATTTGTTTACATATTGTCTGTGGCTGCTTTTGTGCTACAATAGCAAAGTTGAGCAGTTGCAACAGGGACTGTATGGGCCACAAAGCCAAAAATATTGACTCTCTGGCTCTTTATGGAAAAAGTGTGCTGACCTCTGATCAAGGGCATTTCTTCTTCATAGTGCCTCCTTCATACTCTGATAGTATTCCCTGGCCACAGATGGATTGTTGATTTTAGTTATTTTCTTTGACAGGCTAGTGGACACCTTGCACAAGTGAATTAAATGATTATTCTGTATAGCTATACATTATCATATGTGAGCATCACTTTACCTGTACTGCAGTATGGCTATGTTTGCATCCTTCTTACCTCTAGTTAAAAGCAAGGTGTGTAGAGAGCATTGATTTATTCCTTCCTAGGCTAGTCTCTTGGTTGGTTCGCTTCTGTTACAACCACCACCTTAGACTTTGCTGCATTTGTGGGAACAGATTGAAACTCTGGGCTCATCCTGGGCTATCGTCAGCCTGGAAATGGCTCTTAATTAGTGTCTGGGCCTAATTTGAACTTCAAAGCTCTCTACTTTCTGTTAATTTTTGTCTTCTGTTATACTCCAACTTGAGTGCTCTATTTTAGCCACACCTAAACAGAGGTTACTTGGATCTTCTGCTTTTATCTTTCAGCCTCTGCTGAGAGTTGAGTCAATACCTTTCTCTTATCAACTGTATCACATCCTTCTCTTTAAATTATCCTCTAGGTTATCTATCCATGGATGTTTTCCTTTATTCTTTCTATCCTTTATCTGAGCCATAAAGAAAATCCTTGAACCTCTTTAATATATTTATTTAATTATTGTGTTTGTGTTTACATTCATGTAAATGGATTGCTTGCCTATGAAACTGTAAGTTCCTATGAAAACATTTATTATTTGATATTTTTTCTAGTACTTAATATAGTATGAGGTAGTACTTTGAAAGAATCTGTTGGCTAATTGATATCTCTTCCATCGAAAGGTCTCCCAACATTTGATTCGTCCTCTGATGGGCATGAGTCTGACATTGCAGTGCCAAGTGAGGGAGCTAGCAGCATTGCTTCGTATGAAAGATCTAGAGATCCAGGACTACCAGGAGAGTGGGGCTACGCTGAGCCGAGGTGAGAGGACATTCTTGGAGGAGTTGGGTAGGGAGTGGTACACATAGTCAAAGGATCTTAGGAAAGGGGGAGACTCATTTGCATTAGAGAGGTGCTTCCTTCAGATACTGAAGAACTGACTGGGAACTGGAGACTTGATACTGTGCATCACTTCTCTCTGCCTCGAGTACCTGGCTGGGGCCCTAGTGGCCAACAGAAGCTGTAGCCGAGTCCAGACATGCCCTAGGCAATGGCAAGTAAAGACTTTGGAAGGAAGCCAACAGCTATACAAAATTATACTAGGGCAACATGAACTTGGGAGTTTAGGAAGCAGCATAGCTCCAGCTTCAGAATAAAATTTCAGTTTGACCTTTGTCTTTGTGACAGGAAAAACTCCTAGACTCCTAGAGCAGGCTCTGCCACTGAACCTGCCACTTGTTGCTGATCTCCCTGTCCTCCTGCTATTTGCCCACATACTCTCAACTTTTCTTCTCACACTGTACTAGGATCTCTGGGTGTGGCATTTTTCTCCTCTTTCCCAAGAAGTGTCCTGGGTTCTGTCCCCTTTCCATCTCACAGGTAAGAACCTCATCCTAACACTCATATTTCTTTTCTGTATTCCTCCTTATTACAGATCGATTGAAGACAGAGCCATTTGAAGAAAATTCCTTCTTGGAACAGTTTATGGTAGAGGTAGGGTATTTGCTATTTCTTTCTGCAACTTTACTTTACTTCTTCTTCCCAGGTGCCTGAGTAGCAACTTGCATTTTGGATGTTAGGTGGCTTGTGTGGTTGGGAGGCCCTTTGTCTGAAAAAGTTGCCTATAGAAAGTTTGATAAAGCTTGAGATGTACAAAGGGAAGATGGGGGAAGAACAGGGAAAGAATGTAAAAAGCAAGAGTGGGCTGATTAACATTTATAAAACATCTCTGTTAAAGTACCAAGGGATTTCATTTGGAATTCTCTAATCTTGGAAAGCTTGGTAGGCCAGTTGTTAAATTTTTGCTTGTTGAGATCTGCTCACAGGTCCTGATTGTGGTGCATGAGGGTCATTGTTATTACTTGTCTAGGCCCTTGCAGCATCCAGTAGTAGAGGAAGGTAAAAAGCTCAGGGCTACCATTTGGGGACTGTCTTGTGGGCACAGTAGGCTGTGGAAAATCACAGTGTTTATACAAGGGGACTGGCAAAGGAATGAATGGGGAGTAGGTAATTGTGGCCTGTCAGAAGCTCCTGCCTGGGTTTCCCTTCTAAGGATTGAGCTTGGCCAAAAGAAACATCTATTAAATGCCAAACAGGGATTATTAATAACAGTGACCTTTGATAATAATAGTCAATATTGATCTTCTTCCCTAACTCTCCTGGGACTTGTTGGTTGTATAGTTAGTACCTTAGTAGTATTGCCCCATTTACTAGTAGTACATGTTACTCAAGTTGGTGCTTTGTTATGTAAGTAAACAATGCTGTTATAATATCGTGTTATGTATAGATTATTCACATTTCTGTCTTGTCTTCTAGGCTAATTTGTAAGCTCCTTGTGGACAGCATCTGGGTCTCATACCTTTTTTTAACCCTAAATTAGCACTTTTCACAGGGCGAGGCATAAAGCAGGTGTTCTTGATTGGGAACCTTCTGTTCTGCCTCTCTACGTTGATTGAACTGTAATGCTTGGGGTCTTAACACTAAGAGCAAAATATATGGGTGCTCAGTCCATTTACTGAAGCGATTGTAACTATGGAGAAGGAGGAAAACATGTATTACTAAGTCCTGAGGCAGAATAGGTTTCAAGTCTTTATGGGAAAGAGAGACCATTAAACCTGAACTTGTGACAGAGAGAGATTTCCTAGTCCATTTTTCTCTCAGATAGCTTCCCCCGTCTCTAAGTTTGGGTAGTAAGGGAGGTTAACATATACTGGGGATGTCATACTAGTTCCCTGCCTCAATCCTTAGTTAAACAATGCAAGGCTTATTCTTATCCCAGCAGAGAGGTCTGTTATTTAGTGCCTGAGTACCTGTCAGCTTGATGTCTAAACATTTTTCTCTATGTACTTTATGCTTTAGCCATATGGAATGACTTTTAATGTCACCAAATGCTGTTTCTCTTGCTTTTATGTCTTTGTACGCATTCTTCCCTTTATCTAGAATGCCCAATGCCCTGGCCTTACCTACCTTTTGAATTAAACTTATATTAGGCTTTTAAGTGTCAGTTTCAGCTTCTATTTGAGACCTTTCTAGACTCTTCTTGTAGAGATAATCCTTCCATACTACTATTGTACCTTGCCTTATACCTTTATTTTACCACTTATAACTTTATATTACTGTTTGCATGTCTGCAAGACTATGGCTTTTTCCTCTACTGACCTATGAACTCTTTGGGGGCAAGGACGGTGTTGAATGCATTTCTGTACTGCCAGCACTGATCATGGTGCCTAGAAATTAGTAGGCTCTCAATAAGTTTGTAGATGAATATTTTAATAAATCTGTCATAGGGGGATTTTATGAAAATTATGGCAGTTTGGCCTGTGGATACAGTGTTGCTTTTTAGACCTATATTTCGGATTTTCAGTTATTCTCATGTTTTATTTAGCAGTTTTGGATAAATCACTTCTCTCACAGCCATTGTTTTCGCATTGTTGAAATTGGAGGCATATCTCTTTTATACCATTGGGGTAGGGAGGAGCACTGCAGAACTGAATGAGAAAGCATGTAGAATCCAGGTGCTAGCCCAGGAAGGGTATTGGTATTTTGGAACCAACTACTTCAAGAGTACTGGTCCTCTAGGTTCTGGGTGGATCAACCTCTTAGACTTATAGAGTTTTATTATATCTTGAAAGGATCTAAAAGATAGGTGGTTGTAGCTTTTCATTTTATGCATGAAAAAATTGAGCCTCAGAGAGGTTAAGTGACTTGCCTAAGGTCATATAGCTGTAACTGTAAGTTTAGGACCTTCCATATTTCTTGACTTTCAGTCTAGAATTCTCGCTATTTTGTTTTGCTACTTTAACTGGTTGTACACACCAGTTAGGGGAGACATGAGGGCTAGGGTAACGTGGAATTCTTGTGATCTCTAGGGTCACTGCACTGCCCTCAGAATGTCCTGCATAGGTGTTAGAACTGAAAGATTTTCTACTGGCGATGTAGAATTTCTTATGGTTATTGCATCTTTTCAGTTATTCTGCTTGCTCAGGCTCCTACAAACAGGACACAGAAGGGTCATAAGGTCACCAAGGCAACTGAAAGGATGTGCCATCAAAATAAGCAATGTAGAATAGGAAGATAAACAAACCAGAGAGAGAACTCGGGATAAAAGTGCAGGGAGGCCAGGGCCGATGTCAGCAGGCCATGCGGTCAGTGCCTGGGGTCAGTTTTTCCCATTCCCATTGGGAATATTGCTAGCAAGAGTTGTAGAGATAGGGGACAGGGGGCAGAAGGACAGGGAGGTTTCTAGGATACTGAGAGTAGGAAAAATATTTAAGGATTGAACGGGGTTACTTCCCCATGTTTGGTCCTTTTATTTTTCCTCTCTCCCTAAGAACCTCTGATTTCTCATTTCCAGGGAACCCAAGAGTGCCAATTGATAGTGGCATAACCAGAGGGGGAGTACTGGCAATGTGGATGCAAGTCAGGTCTGGATGTGGTGGTTGTTGGCACGATCCTCATACAGGGCAAGATCTCCGTATATTGCATTTCCTAGGACAAGGGGTTGAGAAGCACTTTAGGAGTGGAAGAAGAATAAAGGAATTGGGGACTGTTATTACATGGCAGGAGGAACTGTGTTAAAAAGGAAGTTTAGGATGAGCAGACTGGCATAGCCCACTCTCAGTGTAGTCCACTGGAGGGAGTTCTTTCCCCTGGTCCTGTTCATGCCTCTTTCTTTCCATCTGGTTGCCATCATCCTGTGCGGCTGCTGGCGGACTCTTTATTTATTTATCCCAGTGTAATGGGGTGCGGAGGGAGCTGGCCTAAGGCTGGCATTCCGAGGCTATGCCACTGAGCCGCAGGCGGTTTGCATGGGTGTGTGAGTCACTGGGGCTGCATGCTGCTCAAACCAGACACGGCCAGGCTCAGGGATAGCAGGCAGCCCAAAATAGAGCCCCGCCCTCTGCAGCTGGCAACCCCTGGCTAGGAATCATCCCTTGACACCAAAACCTGGGCAGTGGCGTGAAGTTGCTTCCTTTGCGAGGGGACCCTTCCCAAAGATAGAGACTTTGCAGTTCTCTATCTTCATAGGCTTAAATAATCTGTTTAGTATAATACCTTAACCAAGAAATTTGGGGGCTATGGTTAACGTTGATTTGACTCAGCATCCTAAATGTAGCCATCGTTGTTGTATCCTGTCTAGTTTTAGTTACTATCTTCATCCCCTGTCTGGTTGCAGCCTGATTCTAGAGCAGATACTTCAAGCTATGAAGATATTCATTGCTGCTCTTATGAAGCTAGAGGTTATATCAAAGACACCTGGGAAAGATGGGCAGCCCTGTAACCTGAAAATTGCCATCCTATTAAGTTCATTCACAGACAGTTCTACTTGGTCTCCTTGGCTGTCTCTCCATCCTTTACCTGCCCCGTGGTAGTGTTATCCAGGGTTGTGTCCTTGATCCCCTCACCCTTCACTCTCTGTCTGGGTTGTCTCATCCAGACCCCAAGGTCAACTATCATTAGTACACTGCTGAGTACCAGTTTTATTTCTCTACTGTATTTCAGGCCCATATTTCTTTCTGCATATTTGACATTTTCACCTGGATGTCCCACATACACAACACCCTAAACATGTCCAAAATGAATTATCTACTCCCCTAAACCCATTTCTCTTCTCAAATTCCTTATCTTGGGGAATTGTGCCATTATCCATTCAGTTTTCTAAGCTAGAAATTTGGGAATTGCCCACTTTTCTCTTTGTTTTTTACTTCCAAAGCCTAACTTACCAACTATCTTTTGAGCCTTCTCTTCTCTATTCCAGCTTCCATTGCCTTAGACTAGCTACTTCCCCTGTCCCTTTTTGGCTTGACCATGAAAAGCCTCCTAACTTGTCTTGCAGGCAGTCCATATTCCTCTCCAGTTGAACTTGCAGTTACGTCAGTGATTTCTTTGAAACAGAAACCTGATTATGTCATTGTTGCAGAAAGTCCTTTAGTAGATCCCAGTTGCCTACAGTTGTCTACAGGATAAAGTTCAAACTCCTTGCATGCCTCACAAAATCATCCATGATTTGGTGCTGTTGACCTCTTGCACCTGATCCTCTGTTACTCACCGTAGCACCTGCACTTTCCTCATATGGAAGTATTGACCACTTCCTGCTTGTACACATCTTGATCCATTTGCCGGGTATTTCTTCTCTCTTATCCCATGGCGAACTCCTCTTCAACGTTCCCAATGCTGCATGGGCATCATCCCTTTTGTGAGCCTTCCATGACAATTTTTCCTTCCCTCAGTCTGCGCCTGATCCTCTGTTACTCACCATAGCACCTGCACTTTCCTCATATGGAAGTATTGACCACTTCCTGCTTGTACACATCTTGATCCATTTGCCAGGTGTTTCTTCTCTCTTATCCCATGGCGAACTCCTCTTCAACGTTCCCAACGCTGCATGGGCATCATCCCTTTTGTGAGCCTTCCATGACAATTTTTCCTTCCCTCAGTCTGCTCTCCATCTTCCAGGCATAGGTGCACTATCTGGCTATTCCCACAGCCCCCTG